ATATTTAATTAAATTATTTTTAACACGTTTTCAAAAGATTCTTTAAAAACGTTTTTGTTTTGTCATTATGGGGTATTGTGTGTGGGATATTGAGAACAAAAATGAATTTAATCCATTTAGAATAAGGCTGTAACATAACCAAATGAAACAAAGGAAATGGAATTTAAGAGCAGCAAAAATAAAAATAAACCCTATTATTTTGGGTATCAAATGTTGTTATGAGCATACTCTGATACATATGTAATCCATAGTTGACCATTTATTGACATTTGGAGAAATAAATAAAACTTTAAAAAAGTGAAATGATTGGCTGTCTGCCATTAAGCCGTCACCCTCCATGTCTTCAGGTGGTGGTGTGGGCTAGGGCTGTCCCGAATACCATTTTTCGGGCTCCGGATATTCGGTAGTAATCAACAGCGAATATTCGGTGTGGAGAGATCTTTTTTTTTTTTTTTATAAAACAGTTTTTTTTCAAAAAAAATTCATAGACACCTGACAACACGCTGTTAAGCAGAAGCGCAGAACGAGCATACTATTACGATTAGAGATGTCCCGATCCGATCACGTGATCGGGGATCGGAGCCGATCACGTGATTTTTAAAAGATCGGAATCAGGAGAAAAAGATCGTGGATCTGGAATCCTTAAAACAATTATTTTATTTAATGTTACAAAACAAAAATGACCATGTTCACGTCTTAAAGTCATCCTGAGGCCTTAGTTTTAGTTTAAAATGACACAACATCATGTATGTGTTGCTTCTTTTGGGCTTGTTTTCATAGACCTGGTTGCTTATTTCTCTCAAATCTGGCAACAGAGTGGGCGCAGTGTCTAATAGTAGCATTAAGCTAACGAGAGGCTACGTTTAGCTGGTGACTCGGGAGTCGGGACAGAGAAAATCTCAGGAGTTTGGAAGTATTATAAAATTGAAAGCAAAGGCAGTGTAACAGCCAGATGCAATGTTTGCAAGAAGGAGGTTCCGCTGGTGGAAAGAATAGAGCTAAGTTCAACACGACCAATCTAATACGATTGTTTTTTTTTGTTTTTTTTCCCCCGTTTTTTTTTCAAATTGAATTTATTGAAATCTCCAATATCAACGTAAGAGCTTGTGCCTCTTCGGGGGGTGCTAACACTTAACCATAAACGTTATCGTTTACTTTCTCCGTCTTTATATGTAGATATTACTTTTCTCCGTTAATCTCCGTCACGTTGTTTCCAAAGCAACAACAACTTCCTGTCAACAGCGCTACCTCTCCTTCAAAATAAAAGCATGTCCATAAATAGGAAGCCAAGCCAAATTACACTTAAGACACATACAACTGCAATGAAAGTAACAAACACAATGCGATATCCTTTTCAATTTCAAAGAACACAAATTGGGTTACATTAACAAATAACTATAAAACAACAATACTGTAGAATAACAAAAAGAAGTGGTTTGCTGCTGATTACTATTGAATTGTGTTACTCCAGTAAGATGGAAATATAATACTTTGTTTATTCATGTTATGTTAAGCTGCTGTTGTTAATTGCATTAATACTAGACTAGTTAGTCTTAAGGCTAGAATTCTGCACTAAGCCACATTTTTAATTTATTATTTGTGACTGAATGTGAACTTGTGAAGCTAGTCAAGCTACCTCTTTCCAGTAGAGTTATTTTTGTTTTGTTACTGCACTATCTGCACTCAATTTGTTTACATGGTTATTTTGTGGTGGACCACTGATAAGCTTTATTTTGTTTTGATCCAATGCTGCACAACTGAACTGATCCAATGCTGCTGTGAAAAAAAGAAGCTATATCCATGTTGGATAGAATGGATAGTTGGGTACTGTCATTTAAATAAAAAAAATAACCTTAAGGGACAACTTTTTTTCTCTTAATGCATTGCATAAAGATCGGATCGGGAAAAATCGGTATCGGCAGATTGTCAAAATCAAATGATCGGAATCGGATCGGGAGCAAAAAAAGGTGATCGGGACATCCCTAATTACGATTTATATTTATTTATTGTCTCAGTACTCGCATACATTAAAACTAAATGTGTCCTCTGCATTTAACCCAGCCGCAGTGCAGCGCCCGGGGACCAAATCTGGTTCCAAATTCCGTCTATAACGTTTTACAACCTGAAGATACAAAACACATATTTCTGTTATAACAACAATACTTTTAATAACATATCCGTAACAGTAGGCCTAACAGTGTAGTACTTGTTACCGATACAGTAAACAGTATTTAAATAAATGAAGAACGACAAATAAATGAACGAACGAACTGTATGCCAATAATTGCCTTAGCCCCAGATGTTCCCACATTGCTCCTATTATTTTCACTATTCGGATACAATTGAAAAACTAATATAAAAAAACAATTCGGGTGCTTGCTTGCAACTATTTTCCAAGCAAAGTAAGTGCACGATTTTATCATATGTAACGTTACTGTTTAAACGACGGATAAAGCAGCTTCATCATGGCAACTTGACAACAGCTAAGCTAAGCTAGGCTAGTATTTACAGCATCCGGTGACTTTTCAGAGTTGTTGTGCCACCGTGGTAGGCCAGTTTCTTGTCGCATATTTGGCACACTGCCTTCTTCTTACCGTCGTCCAATTTAAAATGGTCCCACACAGCTGAAGTCTTCGGCATTTTGTGTTCAGGTGTGTGAAACGAGGTGAAGCGTGCCGTTTGCGTTCGTGACTGAGTGAAAGCGATGTCAGGAGCACAGGCTGATATTGTATATATTTCCGCATTTTAACAGTACAATTCAAAAGTATAAATATAGTATAAGAATATAGCTATTCGCCTTTATTGATAGCATACATTTAGGGGAAAAAAAATAATTGTTTGAAATAATGAAATAGAAACCCGAATAGTTGGCCAACGAACGAATATTCGAATAGCCGAATATTCGGGTACAGCCCTAGTGTGGGCACACCATGGTACATCACAATATTTCCAGAGCACAGCTGACCATAGTGTTGTGTCAATAATAAAAGTATCTCTATATCGATATGAAACAATACCAAAGCACAAACATTAAACACCTGTGAAATTAATGGAATACGAGAAGACACAATGTCAAATTATTTTATATAAATTTTTTAATTGGTCAAAAACAACGACAAAATAAAACGACATTTAAATTCAATTGAAATGCTAGGCAGGAGGGAATGTGTAAAGAGGCCACAACACAGAATTGAAGTACTGTATGAGTTAAAGGTGGGGTATGTAATTTATTTAAGAAACACTTTTTGTTATATTCCACGGAATGCTCTTAACATCCCGATGGCAATGAATATATTAAATGCTTTGACAAAAAATCCATTAAAAAATGTCATCTGTGGAAGCCGTAGTACTGTAAAAAGCACGACCAATCATTTTAGCCGGCCTGACTAAAATGATTGGAGGTAATAATATGGGGGTTATTCCCTATCTTTATTCAAGAGCGTGGTATTTAAATTTGAGAGCATACCTTATGTATTTATTTCCCTCAACCCCTGTCCTCGCACTCAAATAGTGCCTGCTTGCACTTAGATTTGCTCTGCTTCTGCTCAAACTGTACGCTTGCACTCAGATATATTGCTGCTTACAGATTTTTTATGCTCTCAGATTTATTCTGTGCGCGCTCGAAACTTTTGTGCAACAATCCTGTCAAAATCCTCAACCAATAGGAGGCCAGGTGTCCTTGCGGGTGCGTTCGCTTTACTTATTACAGCGTCCCGTAAGGGCGGTTACTCTTTGGTTTATAAACTCCCGCCCTCCACGGCTTTATAACATAGCATGTACTGCACTTGTTTGATTTACAACTACCTTACATAATAGCTACGTTCAGTGGCGGACTGGGACTAAAAATCAGCCCGGGAATAAAATAAAATCGTCCCTCCGTTGCCTTCTGCACAGAACATAGTGCGAGGTGGTTGCTATGCAACAACAATAACAGATAGCGAATGTCGTCGTTTAGGTGCTTTTTTTTTCTGGAGATATGCACTTCTCAATCCACTCCTCCATAGTAAGGCCACCCCGGAGGTCGAAGTTAACCTTAAATATTTCCATCTTAAGCTTTGTTAGTTAGTTAGTTAGTTTCGTGACGGACGTAATGTAACAGTTGTAACGGTTTTCAGACGCGGAGGGATACTGATTTGTGAAAAGTAACAACAACTATTCCCTGGATATACGCTCATTATATCACGGCTAAGAAACATCAGATTGCTGGATTTGACTTAGCCGTTTTATAAACATATACTACCTGTGCTTAACCACCACCCCCCCCCCCCCCCCCCCCCCCAAAAAAAAAGTTGTAAATCAAACAAGTGCAGTACATGCCATGTTATAAAGCCATGGCGGGCGGGAGTTTATAAACCAAAGAGTAACCGCCCTTACGGGACGCTGTAATAAGTAAAGCGAACGCACCCGCAAGGACACCTGGCCTCCTATTGGTTGAGGGATTTTGACAGGATTGTTGCACAAAAGTTTCGAGCGCGCACAGAATAAATCTGAGAGCATAAAAAATCTGTAAGCAGCAATATATCTGAGTGCAAGCGTACAGTTTGAGCAGAAGCAGAGCAAATCTAAGTGCAAGCAGGCACTATTTGAGTGCGAGGACAGGGTTTGAGGGAAATAAATACATAAAGTATGCTCTCAAATTTAAATACCACGCTCTTGAAATAGGGAATAACCCCCCATAGCCTACCTGCCTGTCAGCCTTCCATCTGTGCACAAACTTATCTCGTGCCCTCATTGGTCATGTGCGCGTTCGTGTGTGTTGGAGGAGGGGCTCTGTAAGGAAGTCTGAAGGAAGAGGCAGATTTTTTTCCGGTTGTGTACTTTCAAATTCTAGCGCACTCGAGCTGTGTGCATAACACTGTTAACTTTGAGATTGTGATTTGGGAAATCGCCGCCAATCATATTTCCATGCTCGCGCCAGGGACGATTACATTACACAAGCGTGTAATACACTGTCGTAATGACCCCACAAATGTTCCTAAATTGAGACTTGTTGTTTGCAGGCCGGTGGTCTTTGTCACGAAGGGGGACTGGGAGCGTGAGAAACGGCTCTATGTCCATTCTGTCACAAGGCACATGAAGGAGCATCCAGGAGCAAATAAAGGTAGACTAAAAATGATGTGTTTTATAGCAAAGCTGTGTTTTTATGCACCATGTAGTGTGAGGTAAGCCCAGAGGTGCATCATTGTCACAAGTAAGTCTCAATTATTTACACTCAAGTCCCATGTCAGGATGAGCAAGTCCTACACTTTGTCATTATGTGCTTTTCACCACATGTAATGAACAACAGAATAATAATATATTACATTTACATCATATTAATAATTTACTAATCAATTTTCTTTCTGCTAGTAACGTTTTTTCTATTTTAAGAAGGAACAGTAAGGTTAGGCTACTGTGACGGTTTAATTCAGAAGGAGTTTAATTAATAAGATCCCTGATGTTAAGTTGACCAGAATGTTTATTCTCACTGTGTACAACATGTTATCAGGGACACCACAATCCATTTTTATTTGTATTTAATGTTGTTCCTAATAATTTCTAATCTCATTCGCACCTACATTTTATATTGTGTTGTTCGAAGCAGTTTTTAATGTTGTTGCTAGTTTTCGCCACAAGGTTGCGCCCCTGAGTAGACAAGAGAATAAGCAGCAGTAGAAGAAGAACGCTTCGGTGGTGGTTAATATGCAAGGATTTTTAATGTAGTAAGTTGAATAAAGCAGCTGAGCAGTGTAAGCAAGAGTATACTGTATGTTCAAAGTTTACTCGTTGTGTATATATATGTATATATATATATATATATATATATATATGTATATATGTATTACTTTGGTAATATATGCTACATGTCAACTTGCCAAAGTTAATAAAGTTTAGGATTGTTGAGTCGGTAAATATATTGTGGCAAACTTATTTTGAATACATTAAAATATCAAGTCAGAAGGCTTAAGGTCAAGTCCCGAGTCATTGGTGTTAAAGTCCAAGTCGAGTTGCAAGTGTTTTGTGATTTTGTCAAGTCGACCTCTGGTAATTTACCTTGCGTCTCTTTGGCACGTTTGTGCAGATGCCATGAGTGAGCTGATGACGCTGATGAACAGTGTGGCTGATCAGTCACCGGGCGCTGACGGCAAACAGTGGCAGCATCCCTCCGATCTGACACGCAGGTACATCATTTTCATTGGGTTTAATAAAGAAATGAAGGGATGTCTGTTCTAATGCTGGCGTTTTTCAGCCACCTTTAAATATGCGGCTCTGGATCTGTGCTTACTTTTAGGAACTACCAAAGAAGGCTTGGAAGAGAGACGCCTAAAATGACCCTACATGAATGGAAAACTGAGACCATTCCAACACGCAAGCGCTTTGCCAAGGTGCCGAAAACATTTAAACGGAGTTCATTTTTGTAAGTTAAGGACTTGTGGAACTCCTAATAATTCAAAAGGCTGGACTTAATTTGTGATTTGTAAATGTGTGTGTTTCTCTCTGCAATGTTTGTCCCTGTTAGAGAAAACTAATGCATGTTTTAAGGGGTTTGATAGTGTGTGAATTATGCTAAGAAACAAGCACCCACTTGTTTCAAGCATCTTAAATAACATTCCTTTTTTACAATATGATAAACTATGCCTGTTTTAATGTGTATATAAGTTCTCTTCTGCTGTTTGAAATGTATTTTGTGTGTGTTAAGAAATATTCCCAGTTCATGTTTACTCTGGATATGATTAAAAACACTCCGGCCCTTATCTGTTCTTGTCTTTTGGGAGACTTGTATATCTCCAAATGTTTCTTCAAATAATTCTGAAAGGGTTTGCAGAATTTAAAGTTTCAATTGAACACATTTCAACCCATTATCAATCTTTGTTCACTTTTTGTACTACTTGTCAAGCCTAGTGTTCAGACTGTAGGGCAACAAGTTGGTTTGAAGTGCAATGCTTTGTAATTAGTGACATGAATGTATCATATTGTCCTGGAAATGTTTACCAAGAGGTTGTATCCAGCTTTGAATAATAAGCTGTATACAATCATGTAAATGAACAATATTGCACATTTGAACAAAAACTGAAGAAATAGTTACAAATATTATATTACTCCTCTTTATGACATAACAGTCAAAATAGCTTTGTATTTCTAATGTTATTCAATACATTTCATTTGGGGGCTGGCACAGATGTTGTGCCAGACACATTTGCATGCTATAAGCAGGAAGTAAGTGTTCATTAAGGGCAGTTCACCCACACCATATAAACATTCATGAGCCATACCCTAAATTGTTATATTAAAAACATTTTCCATTAATAGTGTCCTGACTTTTTTTTCAATATCCCACAGTTCTTTGGGCATTTAAGTACTTTCATTTTATCATTTGCCAATGTAAAACAGTTTGAAACGAGGTCTGTGAATTATTTCAACCCAGAAACCTCACTGGTTGATATTTGGTAACCTGAACAATAAACGAGCAAAATGGAGGCCCTGATCATTGGCTCCAAATCATGCTCCAAGCTTTGCCCGAATGCCAACCAGTTTTTCCACTCTCACATTTGTGAGCCTGTTGCAAACCTTTGTGTGGTCTCAATAGCTATGCAGTGTGCTATGGCATGGATATTCAAGTGTAATATAATTAATAATAATTTAATACAATTTATTTTTTAATCACAATCTAGAATGTGGGAAGGCACCCTTAAGGGCCAGCCGCCATTGTGAAGGCCTCATGACGCACGTGAGCAGCCACACAACAATGTTGGGACACTCCGGACTCCTGAGCCTGATCTCAGCAGAGAAAGAAGCTGTTTGTGTTGATCCCATAGACTGTATAAAGGTTGATCCTCAAGCCCCTCAGTTCTTCTTTGGATGTGTTGGGTTTTGTCAAAACAGAGTGCACCACAAGAAAACAAAGGCAGAAATGGAAGTCACGCATGTCAGCTACCAAATCAAATAATCAATCCAACACTTTGCTCTTGTTTTTATGCATGGGTACAGATAATGTTATTTAGGACTTGAGTGAGATCCAAGTGATTTGTTGTTTTGCTGTTAGGTCTTATTGATTTCAAAGAAATTACAAAATCAGGCACGTTTTATTACACAAGCTGCTGACTTGAAGGTGTATGTACCAGCCTTAAACCATGTCAAATGTTTTCTAAGACAAAACTCATTCTTCTATGTGCTTTCCTTTGGTGGATTGAGATCTTGACAGTTTAAAACTCCTGTTCACATATTTTTACAGCAAAAATTAGCCTGTGTTCTTAGAATCCTTTGGTGTATTCCAACATTTCAGAAAAAACAACATAGTATGTATGGTATGTCGAAAAAATGTAAGTATATTATGTCGAAAATATCTACAAAACGACATGCTGAAAATATAATAAAAAATGGCAGTTTAATATGTGCCAAATATGAGAAAAACTAATATAGTACAGTATGTCCAAAAATATCTGAATAAGTGGCATAGTATAGTGTTACCAGATTATCAGAAATAAAGAACATATAGAAACATTTCACCACCCTGATTTCGTCTTGGTCCAGAGAGGTTTGGACAATTTGTTGTTTTGAATGTTGCTTATATTGTTTACAGTTAAGATCAAACACAGATCTTTGTGGAAAATAATATATATTCTTACTTTATTGAAGCATACACCATATTCTTCGTAATTGAAGTTGTGTAACCTTGTGCATAATAGTTAAACCATGCTCGCCCTCAATAAGCGATGACTCCTGTACACTTCATACAATGAACATAAACATGACAGCAATAATAAAGCAGTTTGTTTTTTCTAAACCATGCTTCTTTGCGGATGTCATTTCCTATATTTCAAAAACCCATAATGGAATAGTCCAAGTGCTCTGTAATTTCACAAAAATGTGTTTGACTTTCCAGCACGGTCATTCCAGTCTTCTACACATTGTATACGTTTTGAAAAGTCTCCTGACTGCCCTATTGTAAGTAGAAAAGTAGTCCATTACGGCTACCTGTTGGGGAAATATTTTCCAAGGCCCATAACTTTGACCCAGTTTATCAGTTCATACTGTCCTGACTGAGCACACACACCTGTAACCTTGGCTGCGGTGCTCTCAGTGTTTTGTCTCCCTTTTCCTGCCTGTTGGCGTCAGCTGATAGAGGTGTTATGATTCTATCTTGTTATGCAGCATGTTGATTATTCTCTGAACTAGCTAAATACATGGGTCTGGGCTCTGGGGTAGAGTTCTTCAGATTTGACGCGGCAACTCTACCGTGAAGTCAGAACCTCTGGCTCTTGGACTTGTGATGTGAATTCTCCCGCCGAAGCTCCTAATAAACCATCAGTGTTTGACATCAAAGCTCCAGCTCACCCCGTGTCTCCTTCCTGAGTCGTTGACTCCCACTGCATTGCTTCACAGAAGTTTCTCCCACACTACCAAGCATAGTTATTTTCAGACATGGTGTCATACATACAGTAGCATGAGAACAATCTCACTGAAGGAAAGCCTCAGTGTTAAAGAGTGATTCGCCCCCACAGGGCTAAAATGGAATGTTGAACTCTTACAGTCGTCACCATAAGTCAAAAGTCATTAAGGAAAAATATATTTTATTTATAGTTGATGGGTGTAAAATTAACCATGAACACCAGAAGTGGCTGGTTATTCCTACAACTAGAAATAATGTGAGTCCAGTTTATTTAGTTAACAGTTACATGTGACTTCATTGCACTCCACCCCCGGAAATGAGATGTGTGAAATAGCCACATATCTTCCTCTGATTCATCATAGCATGTCTAGTTGTTTAACATTGTCAAACCCGGCATCTGTCAAATTATATTCCACAGCTGTTAATCATCAAACTGCTGGATAATCACCTCTGTGTAGTAGCTCACTCAAACACATCGCCTTTATGTAGAAACTGCATCACTTAAAGAAATGGTTCGATATTTGGTGAATAATGTAGTGCCCAGAATCAAGAGAATTGGTGACTGAGAGAACCAATCATTTCTGAGTTTAATACGACCTCCCACTTAGAAATGTTTGGTTCTAAAAACATTCTGAGAATGTTACCATTCACTGTTCTAGGAATGTTTTCAGCGGGAAGTTTTCTTTTGGTTCCCAGAATGTTCTTCTGAAAGGTAGGAAAACGTTCTCTAAAAACATTCTTAAAATGTTTGGTGATAACCTTCTTAAAACGTTTTCTTTAAAACATTATTAGAACCTGTAGGTAACGTTAGCCAAAGTTGTGAGAACGTTCCCTGCTAGCTGGGCTGTTTCTTACGTTGTAATAAAGTGAATAAACTGTTTCCCATATTGTGATACTATTTCTTTAGCATTAAATATGGACAATAACCGGCCACAAAAGTGTACGTTTACAATAAACCTGCACTAAAATGAGTGTAAGGAATAATAGCATAATTTGGAGTTGGTGGTCCTCAGTTTTTCATTTTGTATTTAGAAACGTCAATTTGATTTGAATACATATTTCGATTATATGACACCATAATCATTAGGAAGAAAATATGTATTCCAAGCTGAAGTAAACCTCACATTTTCAAATTTGATTCATTAAGTGCATTTCAACAAAAATGCCTACATGTTTTATTTCTTATAGAAATAACTTAAAATAAAACATCCAGGGGGATAATCATCATTATCCGTTTATGTGTGTGGATGGAGGTCTATCAATTGGAGAACTAGTGTTCCTGGGGAAAAATGTATCCAGCCTTCATCCGCAAAGGTTTTTTGCCGTAGTGCTGATCACTGGGTTATGCAGCAGAATACAGTTGTGAGGGGTTTGTCCTAAAGGTAGAAGGACCTGGTTCTTTCTCCCTTTTCCCACAATGTGAATTTTCTCTAAACCTGTTCCTGCATCTGCCATGATTCAGTGCTCATTGGTGGAGCACAACCTCGTGCTTTTCCACTCTTAGCAATAAAAGGATAGGGAGTGATAAGAGCCATCATTCTACCCACTTCCACTCAACCTTCATTGCTCTCGGAGCCAATTTTTCTGCCTGGCAGAGTTGTGACATGTTGTGTTTATACACACATGTATTGGTTTCACAATGAGTGAAAATGAGATGCGGAACAAGAGATCAGCTGTTTATCATTCTGCCCGACAACACAGATTCCTAGCCACTGTTTCACGATTATTCCAGTACTTTTTTCATATTTTTCCGGATCAAAAAAGCACGACCAATGAATAGAAATGCATAATAAAAGAGGAGTGCTTTCAAAAGACTTTAACAGCAGTGTATTGACAAAAGAAATCACCTACATTGTCACCAGCTTGAACAAACGACCGGTACCCTTTAACATTTAGATTCTATACATGTTGCACATTAGTCATATTTCATTAAAGGCTCTCTAGGCTGACACTACCAAACAGGAATGAAATATAAAATGTATTTACACATTCAATGTCAACCAGATTTGCCAACTAACCTCAGCACATGTTCATTTTCACTCTTGCGGACACATTTAATTATCATGTGAAAGCTAATGAATCAGACAGGTATACAGGGCTTTCCGTCGTATAAGATCAATCATAAATACAATTGTTTTTAAGGCAGTACTACTGAGCCGAGCTGAGTGATCAGCCCTCACATACACCATTTGCTTTCTGAAAACAAGTCCCTTTACAGTGCACAGTACCGTATAACAGTGGATCCCTTTTTAGTGTTCTCAACACGTAGTTTCAAAGCAATGTTGACTTTGATTTGTGAAAAAAGTCTTGATAGAAGCCCTTCCTTCTTGGTGACATCTGCTAATGTCATAAGGAAGTCTCTGGGTTGAATGTTGGGCCCATAAAACATATTTCCCCCCCCCATGCTCTCCATCCGAAAGATTTTACAACAGCGCTGAAATACTTTTCTCTTAAGGTTAAGGGGAGGGATCCCCTGTAAATTCCCTCATAGTCGATGTGCAGTTTGTTAATTCGTCTGAACAATGCATGCTGGGAGCTCGAGTTTTGGACAAACAGGCCACAGAGTCCTTGTTTCCACTGTTATTGCTGATATAAGGGATCTCTTTGGGGTCTCCACAGACATCAGTAGAGTCCACCCCCTCTTTTTAAATGCATTCAATGAACGCAGCTCCATAATGAAATTCATCCCCCTCACAGAGAAAGACACAAGGAAATACTAAAGGGCTCATCCTGGATGTGGAATGTAACAATTCAGGAAATCTATTAAAAAAGCATGACAGAAGTTAGAGGGCAAAAGCAAGTGTGGCCAAGATGAAACCACCTGGCCTGTTACATACTCAGATAAGCCTTCAATATGACGAAGGTGGGTGATTCAGCTCCTCTAAGGCTGCTCTGACGTCACTGCAGCACATCTAAGAAACGAGTCCTAAAGCAGCCAGGTGGACTCTGTTTCCCTGAGGGGGGAAAAGGAGCTCGGCAGAATGAAAACAGTTCCCACTGAACGTTTCTGAATTATTATTCAGAATAATGAATGATCTACAGTGTTTTTCTTTCAATTCATAAAGCTGAATATTATGAAGAAAAAAAGGTACGACAAGTGCCACTCATATGGTGAAAGGTCTTATTTGTGGTTGTTGATAATGAACTGAAAAACGGTGAGAAGAAAGAGGTGACGAGAGAGAGAATGAAAAGGTCTCTGGCTCTGTTCGTAGACTTTGGTCCCTGGGGTAGGTGCAGCTGCAGTCTCACTGTCGGAGCCACTTGGCCCCCCATCGGCCCCGCGGTAGAGTACTTACAGAGCAGGGTGCAGCCTCTGAGCCCACCCAGACTCTGCCCTCAGACCGGCCAGGCTGTGTCCGACCCCCCCGACTGGAGCAGCTTGGCTTCAGCCCCGCCAGAGGAGAGTAAAGGGCCCTGAGTCCCAGCCTCATCCTGACAAGCAGATGGGCCTAAAAGGGGCCCGCTTGTTGACGAGAACACATAGTCTTTTGGATAAAGAGACAACGTCCTCGCAGTCACACCTCAATGATGTTGACAGATGGCATCCTATTGTTGTTGTTGTTGTTCTTAGGGAACTGTGGGAGGAAAGAAGAAGACAACAGGTGTGAGAAGAATCATACAACAAGCTCCTTCAATGAGCATGAGGATGCCTCTGCACTCGTATTGACGTTCATAGCATGAGCGAAAGAGATCTTTGAACACAGGATATGAATATGGCATGGTGCACCGTGAATTGACCCCAAAATAACTCATTAGAAGCTATGACTGGTGAGTTTTCTAAAAGTTGCAAAGTCATGCACATGCTGCCATGGTGAAGCAGTGTTTAGCTGAAGACTGAGGTTCTGATGACTGCGCATGAAGTGCCAGTGGAAAAAAGTCTAGAAGTGGCCGGGACAATTCACCTGCCCGGAGTCGCTGTAGGGGAGGCACCCAGAGGGGAGGAAGAGGAGGAGGAGGAAGAGGAGGAGGATGGGTGGGTGGGTTATACCTTACTGCGCAACAGCCCCCCCGTCGGATGTTCAGGAGTGCTGCACTCGGAGGAGTTTTTGGCTTTGTCCTTGTTGTTGTTGGGCTCGTTGTCTTTGATGATGTCGTACTGACGGCAGAAGAGAGCGATCACACCTGAGAAGAGAGGAGGAGAGATGAGGAGAGGAGAGGAGGAGAGGAAGAGTGGAGAGGAGTAGAGATGAGGAGGAGAGAATAGGAGGATAGGAGGGGAGAGGAGGAGAGGAGTGATCAGATCCACAGCTGATTTGAGTACAACTACGACAGAAACAGTGTGTGTGTGTGTGTGTGTGTGTGTGTGTGTGTGTGTGTGTGTGTGTGTGTGTGTGTGTGTGTGTGTGTGTGTGTGTGTGTGTGTGTGTGTGTGTGTGTGTGTGTGTGTGTGTGTGTGTGTGTGTGTGTGTGTGTGTGTGTGTGTGTGTGTGTGTGTGTGTGTGTGTGTGTGTGCCCACCTGCCCACATGATCAGCACCACCACGATGATGATGAGCTCCCCCGCCCTCATCTGGGTGCTCTGGCCCACTTCTTCCATCGTCACCTCGTCTGAAGGAATCCACATATTTAGTTAGTGGAAGAGGATTATGATTGACTCAAAATGTCAGATTCTAGATTATGACGTTCGTGACACACATGCTTATTAAAATGTCCTCAGAGGGCCCAGAAGTAAATGAATCAAGATGAGTCTGCTGCCATATTCATTTTTTCAATGTTGTTGTTTACATTTTATTTGTATTTGCACACACATTATTACAGTACGACTGCATACAGTTGGAAATGATCAGAAACCACAGTCCTATACAAAAACCCACCGCTCTATTCAAAGAGAGAAATCTAACTGTAACAAAAAAGGTTATAAAAGAAAAAGCAATAGAAAAATACAACAATAGGTAAATAACAAGAAGCACACAAAGTGCCAGAAAAAAAGAAAATCAATCAGAAGACACAAGAAGAAGAATAGCAACAAGAACAGGGTCGAAAATTAAATGTGATTACATTCCTATTCCTGAATAATGGAACACAGGCATCATAAGAGTTTTAAAATGCAGTAATTAAACATAACAGTATTTTCCTTTTTGTTCCTTTCTCCTTTCCTGACCTGAAGTTGAGATCATTTCCATTGTATACTCTAAGTCTAAGGCCTGTCGTAGAGTTTTCACATTAACGCGACTTATATACAACATTGACCTGGTAGTGATGAGACCGGTTGTTGTTTAGAACAAGAGGAGCTAATTGGCTTCCAAACAGACAAATTACTCAACAGCAAAGATAGTTTCCCATAAAATCAGGATCTTAAATGAGTCTTATGACACTTCAAGCAGTCAGCATCTTTGTGTCGGCTTAAGAAAGCACACAGAACGAGCGCATGATTTAACGGCTTTGCATCTGCCCAAAAGGTGGATCAGGTGCTGTGATCACAGAGGAGGTTTGTAATTTGAATAACTTCAGAATTTCTGACACAACCGATCTACCATTTAGATATCAAACGGTAAACAACTTCTGACATCCATCTCTTCCTCTTATGGTAATTAAGAGAGCGTATGATGGTTATTGTAGCAGCAGGAGGGTCAGAAAGAGAGAATTGTGTGCTACGTAATTTTTTTAAGTCCTTCCCGTTGTGAGACTTAAAAGAAAATGAATGGGTTGAGATTGCAGAGATGGTTCTAAAGGTTCACTTTGACATAAGCAGAGCGACAACCATCCTGTGTGCTTTAGGGGCTTCATTTTCCAGAATATAGATTATATTGGTATATAGAAAACACACATTGCCTTGCTATAGCCTAAATCTAACAAATGGGGCGAAGCCTGCGAGCTAGTTCAGGCAGTCAACTCGAGCACTTATGCTGCCTAACGCCCCCTTGCCACTCTACAACCAACCAAACAGAGTCTCCTTAATATGCCGCTCTATTTAACCTGCAGATCTCTCTCTATGCTTTGCTTGCTGCTGCTATTGCTGCAGCTACTTCCACCTCGCTGCTGCTTGCCTGCCCCACCACCACCCCAGCTTCCACCTGTAGGCTTGGGGGGGTTAGTTATTTAATCATCACTCATCGTGCTATGTATATCTGTGGAGTGATGAGGCCCGAGCCTAGACGCCAAACTCAAATATGCAAATATGCTGCTTCTAATAAACATGTTAAAGAAACGCGTGAGTTGTCTGACTGAACTGTAGTTATTGTAAAACTAAATAATACCCATGAATATGTAAAGGTTTGGATGAGATGACACCATCTGAAATGGTCTGTGTTGCTTTCTTTGGAAATCCTAGGCAGATGCTGCAGGTTAATTGGGTAAAAGTTAATTAATGACATTAAGACAATTCATTTAGTAAGACAGTACAATAAACACCTTCATGTGAATTCTGGAGTAATCCTTCTCAAGTCTGAAAGAAAATGGCCAGTGAAAAATATGTTTTGAGATATTCGGGGAATGTTTTTTTCTAGATTAAGAACACCGTCCAATAAGGCAAATGTATTATGTAGGGAAGGAAATAAAAGATGCAATCCTCCTCTACTCCCATTCCTATTTCTATTTGGCCCGTCCCCAGAGAGACTGAATTGTGGCTGCATACAGGTCATTACTTCCTCTGTAAACTTGATTAATAAGCTACTAATTTACAACAGGCTAACAAACTACTTCATATATTTTTAATTAGATCAGCAACTCGGTCACTGCACCTGTAATAAACAATAACTGTCTTATCTGCAGACAGTGCACTTTATTAACTTTGATTATGTGCTCAGAATTACAAGAGGATGGACAACTTTCAAAAACGTTTTAACTTTGGAAATGTTCATTTCATTTCAACAATTTTTGGCAACAATCTAGCGGGGCATCTAACCTCCACCAATATGGCTCGTAGTAATCATTTAGTGTTGCTTTGGGGAGGATGACTTTAGTCTCTACAGTATATCATTGCTTTTCCATGTTCCAGAGCTGTTATACTGCTCAGTCATTTGATTCATTCTCGGTTCCAATGCCGCTCCCTTTTGTATCGCAGTTCAAGGTCAGCTCTGTCTAGACTCTGTATTTTCATATTGACTACTACCGCTTGTCTGCTAGTCTTCACCTGTTTCTATTATGCCTTAAATGACTATCATACGGATCTGAGGCACAGGGGGTCAGGTAAATAAAGTAACTGGCTTCATACAGACAGACATTTTGAACTGTAGACACACAGCCAGACAAACAAGCATGAGCATCCATAGAGATGTGTTCTGTGTTATTGTTATTAGGACTCATTCTGTGAGCGCCCAATGGACTCAAAAGATCACAGAGAGACAGAACATGAAAAGGATAGTTAACGCCTCATCTCAGCCACTGGGGAACCTTTGTTCTAGATCGTGATGTAGAGATAAAGCAATGAAAATAATTAATCACAGCAATCAGAATCAGTTATATCCCGTCATCATCTTTGAAGTATGACTATCAGCAGAAGCATCAAAGAAAGAAGTGCCTGTTTCTCTCTGGAACAAAGCAGCCACACGTGCTAACTTTTTTTGTGGAAGTCAGAGGCTTGATGTAAAGTTCATTGCAGCGTGCCTCGTGGAGAGTGCTGCCATCCTTTTATTAGATGCAGTGAATGACATTTGGAGGCCCGGTGTGGCAGGAACCCCACGCTCCAGCAGCTTTTAGCAACAAGCAATTCTGCTGATCGATTGGCCTCTGTTGCCCGGTGTTAACTGATCAGAGCTCAGCGGCCGAGGCACCTGGCCCCCCTGTCCCGGGGCCGTCTGCTCAGCTGCATCAGCAAGACATGGTTTTATGGATTAACAGCTTTAAAGTTCAATTCACTTTTAAGAACTCAGCACACAAGAGGAAACTGTGTTGCTGCTTTGTCACTTTTCTTATCTGATGTTCGGTTTTCATATTTAACACTGGAGCTCTAATGGTAAGCGATGAGAAGATTCACCACCATTTAAAAACAGCTGTCCCAGAGTTTCTCTACATTCCAACAAGTATAAATACGTAAACTGTTGCCATTAATGTAAGTATTTATTGTATTATTGTACTTCTTATCCTCAAAATTGGCATATCTCATATGTTATATGAGATGTTAATTATATTAAGATATCTGTCTTTTGAAAATCCACTATTTGTAACTTTGGTAACACTTTATTTTGATAGTCCATAGTTGAAACTCTATAAGTCATCAGTTGACATTTAGTAGCAATAAAGTGTTACCGTAACTTTCAATTGCAAAAATGTTTACTGCATTTCAGGTCCTCAAATTCCTAGAAAACCATACTGAGGTTATAATCTACGTGTGTTATAACCCTGAGTGGATTTTTATTTATCTACTTATTATTCATTTTTATTTTATCGGCATCAACAAAGACAAAGGAAGCACCAATGGATGGGAAGGTAGAGGTGGATACTGTCCTTCTTATTCATTACAGTAAGGGTGGGGAACCTTTTTCCTCTCAAGGGCCATTTGAATTTTACAATCAATCAATCAATCAATCAATCAATCAATCAATCAATCCATGTTTATTTATAAAGCCCAATATCACAAATATTACATTTGTCTCAGTTAGAGGTTGCGCTAGACTTTTTCGCTGCCCGTCATTTTGACGGACAGGATCGTAAAACTTCCGTCAAAATCCAGAATTACCCGTCGGCCTTTACACAACTCTGACGAGGGGGGGGGGGGGGGGAGAAGCATGCTCGTGAACTGTTCAACGGGGGGGGGGGGGGGGGGGGGGGAGGCAGTTCACATGCGCCGTGTTATGCATGGCTGTTGCACCTCGCGGGAGCGTGCACAGCGTAAAGCCAAAACTCACAGACATTTCAATTATTTGTACGGCACAGTTAGGTTTGGAAACGGTATAATTTCCTTTTTGGAGGGCATGCATAACACCCATAAGCAGCCTTGCTGCGGGGAAACTTTGGCGCTGTTCCGAGTTTGTTCTATTCTGTCAAAATGACAGACTGCTTTCAGATTTGTCAGTCATTGTTAAAAAAAATCCGTCATAGACGGAAAATATTCGGTTAACGCGACCTCTGGTCTCAGTGGACTAAAGTTTGTACAGAATATCAGTATGATAATACGACACCTTCTGTCATTAGACCCTCACATCGTACAAGGAAAAACTTCCAGAGAAAACCCACAGTTTAAAGGGGAAAATGGGAGAAACCTCAGGGAGAGCAACAGAGGAGGGATCCCTCTCCCAGGACGGACAGACGTGCAATAGATGCCGTGTGTAAATCGAAAAGATAATACATGTACAACATAGGTAGATCAAATGTTTGAAAATGCATGTGTCTATAATAAGAACAACATCCTCCGAGGGCCCTACAAATGATTGAACTCAACCTCTCCTTAAAAAAAACAAAAATCACAGCCCATTTATTTCACCTTTCTTTCATGCTGTGCAAAGAAAAAGCAACCTCTTAATCCAGATATTTTACCATGACTCGTGCATGCATGCATGCATGCATGCATGCACACGGTTGTGGCATGACCACCAAAACAGAAAGATATGGTCACAAATGTATTTTGTAGTATCCTATCCATTGGAGTTGGACCAAACCAGTGTGTGGGA